TTGAAGATTGAGGGAGATGGTTCCGAGCAATGCACTAAACAACAAGCGATCTTGTTGCTTGAAGGGTAGAAAGGCAGGATTATCAACCAGGATACCGTCGATCTCGACCTTGGCGGCAGGAACAGTGGCTTCATTAAGAATGAAGCAATCGAGGTTATGCCCTTCAAGAAGAGCTCGAACTTGGATACTCCAGGTAATGTAGTTGGAGGAGATAAGCTTGGTCACGTTCGTCATGTTGACGGTGAAAAGCGATTTGGTCGGATCTTGAGCATTGAAAGAGATTGCCGGAGTAGAGGAAGCTTCGTCGGTATTGGCCATGATGACAGCGGACAAGGGTTGACGTCAGGCGTCTGAACGTCGTCGGAAAATAAAAAAGAAGCGGCTAGGGTTTTGTCGTAAGACTAACTCTCTGATACCATATAGGTTTATTGAATTGCTTACTTTATTATGATTATGCATAACACATATATGTAGGTACAGGGGAGATATACGCCTAACAGTTAGATCCTACAATATAGGAAATATTCCTAATATGAGATTAGATTACAATCACAAGAATATCTCCAATAAGTGGCACTCCAAGATACCTTAAAGGCAACTGACCCAATTGAATTCCACTTTGTCTTTGTATCTCCTCCATTTCTAGACCAGTTAAACCCCCCGTTATTAGGCTGCATTTATTCTTGTTTATCGAAAGACCCGAGATCAGGAAGAACTTATGAAGAATAGAAAGTATACCTTGCACAGATCTGACCTCCCCATCCGAGAAAATTAGCAAATCATCAGCAAAACTAAGATGAGTGATCTTATCTTCTCTACAGTCCGGATGATACCCAAATACCCCGTTTCCTGCACCTTCCTTAAGCATTAACGATAATATATTCATGCAGATAACAAACAGGTAAGGAGACAATGGACATCCCTGTCTTAATCCTCGTTTCCCTTGAAAGTAGCCAAACATACCACCATTGATGCAAACTGAGTAGGACGGCGTAGTGATACAGGTTTCGATCAGTGAGACTAGATGGGGATCTAAATTCATGGCTTTCATAGTAGTGAGAATGAAATCCCAACGTATGGAATCGAATGACTTCGCAATTTCTATCTTGAGAGTCAGTCTCTTGGAGATCCTCTTGCCGTGATAATTTCTGACAGTTTCATTCGCAAGCAGACAGTTTTCAGACATCAGTCGACCCTTGATGAACGCTGACTGGCTCGGTTCTATTGAAAACGGGAGGTTTGGCCTTATACGGTTTGCAAGGAGCTTTGCTATCACTTTGTAGATGAAGTTACATCAAGCGATTGGTCGAAATTCGGCGAACGTCTCAGCCCCCTGTGTTTTTGGGATGAGGATGAGGGCAGTAGCATTCACACAGCTAGGCATTCTCCTTGTTTGAAGGAAGTGCAGAATACTTGTTGTGAACTCACCCCCAACAATGCTCCAAGCTTGCGATAATATTCAGCTGTGAAACCGTCCGGACCAGGGGTCTTGTTTAGTGCCATAGAGAATGTGACTCTCCTGATGTCTTCTGCATTGAAATGCACGTTCGGGTTCGGAGATGTTGTTGTCTAGCAATTTGCTAGCAGCCTCTGTATATCAATGATCGATGCGATTGGTCCTGAATGATGTTCCCTCCCTAAGATGTTTGTGTAGAAGTCTACTGCTGCCGCCGCTATCTCTTCTAGCTTTTCCAATCTTGAGCCGTCATGGTTCCTTATATAGGAGATGAAATTCCTCGATCTCCTAGCAAGGATGCTTCGGTAGAAAAATTTATTATTTTTGTCTCCTATTTGAAGCCAATGAATCCTTGATTTTTGCTTCAAGAAAGCTTCCTCAATCTTGGATAAGTATTCCCATCTCTGTAAACTCTCTTGTTCTTGCTGGAAATTAGAAGTCGATGGATGTCTTAGTACCTTGTCCTGCACAGAAAGAAGAATATTGTGAGCCTCATTAACTCGTTTAGTAATCTCACTGAAGTTTTGTTTAGACAGGCTTTTAATAGGGATTTTTTGTTGCCTTTGCTTCCTATAGAAAGCAGAAAGAGTAGTTGCATTTCTCCCAGCCATACTCCAAGAGGTTTGGATAGTTGGGAGGAAATCAGGATGGTCAAGGACAAAGTTGAATATTTTGAAAGGCTTAGGACTAGACAGGAGTTGTCTTGAAGACAGACTAGACTTGGACAGTGATCGGAGGGATGAGGGGGTCTGAAAATGGCTGAGCTTCTGCTTTCTATAGGAAGCAAAGGCAACAAAAATTCCCTATTAAAAGCCTGTCTAAACAAAACTTCAGTGAGATTACTAAACGAGTTAATGAGGCTCACAATATTCTTCTTTCTGTGCAGGACAAGGTACTAAGACATCCATCGACTTCTAATTTCCAGCAAGAACAAGAGAGTTTACAGAGATGGGAATACTTATCCAAGATTGAGGAAGCTTGGATCTCATTGAAATCCCCTCCGAGGATCCATGCTCCACCTCTTGGCTGTACAAACTGCTGGTGAGTTTGAAGAAGCCGGCTCCATAGGGCATCTCTATCAGCTACTTGATTGGGAGCATAAATAGCTGATAGGATGAAAGGCAACCACCCTTGGACTGTCATCTCAACAGTTATCTCGTTTGCAGTGCGTTTGAGCAATTGAGCCGAGGCCTCTCCTCTGAATAGAACCCATATTCTACCTAGATTGCTTTCTTGATAGTTATCCAATCTTGACCAATCTTCTCCCAACTTTGCGAGTATTCTGTCTGCATTTGGTTGCTGAATGTGTGTCTCAAACAATGCTCCAAAAATCGGTTTTTGTTGTGCCAAAAAATGTCGTAACTCGACTTGTTTACAGCCATCATTTAGGCCTTTAACATTCCAAAAGAAACCTTCCATTACACGAATTTAGGGGTTAGATATTCTCCCCTGCCTCCCCTGATTGTGGAGGCGATGGTAAGGGGGCCTTTCCTGTAGGCGAACTCACGGTTGGGTTGGTCAGGTTTTGTGGCGCGTGTGATATGAGTGGGTTACAGGGATGGACAGTGTTCATGCATATAAAGGCTGCCTCTCAAATGGGTATGCTAATTTGTTCTTTTGCTTCTTTGGCGGACTCCAGGTTTAAAAATCTTCTATCTTCTCTTGTGATTGCATATCTTGCGGAGTGGTTCGTCTACATCAGCAATTTCCTTGCGGTAAAAATACGAAACTCGCTGCTTTGCATCTTTTGGCCATCTGTACTAACCCAAAATAAACTCTGAACAGATACGGAACATGGCTCAGAAGATGCCATCCTTCAAAAGCGGTGGAATCCTCTGGTTCACTGATCTTACAACTCCAGACAGCTTTTACATCTTGCCTGTTGTGATGGAGCTCACTTTCTGGTTTACAGAGATAGTAGGTGTTTATAATTACGCAAGCCAAATGCAATGTTTTATTCATTTAACTTGTGTTTTTCACATTTTGATAGCCTCTCAGTAGGCAGCAGAATTCAGCAGCCAGAGGAACCATGAGGCTGCTTTGTTGGATCTCTGCGAGTGTTGCATTTCAAGCTACATTCAGTTTTTTGAATCGGTAAAGCTTGAGTTCTGAGAAGCGGAGCTTCTGTTTCTTTGTCCAGCTTGATATCACAGCCATTCATGTGAGTCCCAATCTGTTGTAACTTTTGCAGGCAGTGTACTGTTTCATGATCCCATCTAGAGTAGTTATATGTGGATTAAAGCTGGGTAAGTGGGTTTCTCTGCCAACATAATGATATATTTCATACGAGAACAAATGGTGGTTCCGTCTCTTATATTCATGCACCTTTGTTCCCTCATTATAGATATGTTAAGGTCTCCAAAGGTGAGGGAGTTGCTTGGTCTCCCAGACTGTTTCTCATTAGCCTCGGCTTACAAGGCCTCCGCTGAAGAAATTCGCTCCAGCAGAGTCGTAAGGAACAGCCGAACGCCACAAAGAACTCTACCGAAGCAACAATGGACGGCCAGATAGAGATCTGGCAGAGGTTCCTAAGTGTCGAGGAGCAATGGAACGCCACAAAGAAGGACAAGAAGTGAACAAGAGAGTTGAACCTGAAACTGCTTTAGATTGTCTTGCTGGTAAAGGTGTTTCACTTAATCTTCTTTGCAGTGGGATCCTCCTCCTACTTTAACTATCAGTCAGCCTTTGAACTTTTTCTTCTCGACGTTTCAGGTTTGTAGTGTATCGAACCATATTATTCTGATGTCCTTAGAGAAAAACATCGTATCCTATGTAATGAAATTGTAGGTCGATACCCGCACGTCCTCTCCCATTTCACTCCTACTCAAGGACAGAGGATCAAAAAAGGCAACAGAGATTCAACGAGTTCAGACCCTGCGATTCCTACCTCTAGCCGGATGATACCGACGAATCCACTGTACGAAAGTACCACGGTGGCCCTCCACACCAAATCGGAGGCTCACCGGGAAAGAATAAGAATACAACCGAAAAGAACACGTACCCAACAGACGAACCCCCATCTTCGAAAAGAACACGTACCCAACAGACGAACCCCCATCTTCGCCGGAAATCGCCTCTGGCCTTCTTGCTTTTTCTCTCTTTACGACGTGAATCTAAGAAACGCTCTGTTTTGACCAATCGGTTATCACTGGTTAATCCTAAACCGAGCTCAATCCGGCAAGACCAAACCAAGAAGAGTCTCCGACCGGGTCAGAGGTTTCTCTTCAACAGAAGTTTATTGAGGGCTGAAGGTGACAAGTTACAACCCCACCGCTCTGAGATGCTTTTTATGAAGGCAATGGGAAGCTTTCTTTCCAAGTTAATAATCCTCTCCCTCTCTCCAGATTTGATTTGAATAAAGACATTTACATTTTCCGGCGCGTTTCGGCCGATGTTTAATTACTCGTATTTTGGGCTCATGGGTCAAATCAAATGATTCATATGTTCATGGGCCCTTTAGCCCAATTGATCGGCCTCGTAATGATCTGTACTATTTGCCTAAAACCTCAGGTGGAATGCTCGTACCTGAATGAATGGGGAATGCCAAGTTCCTTCACCGATTTCAAACTGAGTTCCAGAATCTCTCTTTTGAAATTGAAGCGGTATTGGTGATCGAGCTTTACCAGAGTCTCTCTCTCTCTCTCTCTCGCTCGAAGTCGAAATCGAAGCGGTACTGGAGATCGAGCTTTTCTTAATCCCCTGGTAAGGAGGTACTGTGTTTTTCGGCCATTCGTTTTATGCTTCCTGGGACAAATGTGGTGAAACCGAGGAAACTTTCTGCAACTCTTACCGTTGTCTAGGTCTTGTTCTCGAAGATGAGACCGGCTTAGGATTTCCATTTGATTTCTATTGGCCAAATCCGACGCATAAACTTGTTTCTTTCTCTAAATTTCTCCGGAAAATATTATTCCCTCCTTCTGGAAATTATTTGTTCTACGGATTCTAGCATCTGGTTTCCTCTTTTAAGCATCGTTCTTATTAGACTTGCAACTATCTGATATGAATTCGGATTTGCGCCTACTAGATAGCGTATCGTGACAGACTTTGCAATTATCATATATGATTTCGGATTTCCACATATACGTGTGCTCATGCATCTGAAGAAAGTGAAACGTGCAAAAAGTACAGCAGACTGAATAACAAACCTGGATAATGTCCATCTTCTCTGCTTCGATTTTCTCTCCTTTTCTCTGGTTGATCTGAATATTCACAAAGAATGTTTCTTTAATGCTTTTCAAAAATGTTTCAGTGTCCTATAGAACTCTGGTCTTGGATTTTGTTTCAACGGTTTGGTTACTGAATTCAGAGCCGTTACTTCCTCCAGGAAATTCCTGCTAGAAATGGCTTGTTTGCGTGCTGTCTCGAGGAGGACAAATCTTTTGCCTAGACAGTTTTGGATGCTCGAACGGCCAGTTCTTCATGTTAACAAAGATGATACCAGAACTGATTATTTGAATTCCAGCCCTTTGACTTGTGGACTGCATAGTCAAGCTCGTAGGCATGATTGTTCGTTGGAAGAGAGGAAACACATGTCTTTTGCCCGAACATTGGGATCTGGCTTCTTACTCTGTAGGCACATGTCTTCAAAACCAGAAGAATGTTCGAACAAGATCGATTGGAATTCCACAGTTGTTGAGGAACTTGTCCCAGAAGAATCTTTGGAAGCAGTAATCTCTCAAGTCTCCTCTGTAAAAGAGGTGGCAATCGCTGCTGCAGATTCTTCTCTTCCTGTTGCTGCCATCCAGCACTTTATTGATAGTGTTCATGCATTTACCGGCTTCAATTGGTATCAATTTATTTTTTTGTTCATCTTGCTTCTTGCTTATATATACTTTGTTATGGCTTCTAAAATATTTATGCTGTTGTGTAGGTGTTTATCGATAGTTCTCTCGACTTTTCTTGTTGGAGGATTATATATCCCAGCCCATGTAAAACGGTTGAATGCCGGTCCAGATTTTGCTGTTAGTTTCTTATGCTTTTTCTTGACCTGCCAATTGTTATCGAATTCCTTTGCAGCAGCATTTTAGCTCCTTTTTATTCATCTTGCAATAATTGCCTGTTCACATGTCGTTCTTCTTACTTTTTCAGAATACTTTTCAACATGCAGTGAAAATGATCCAGGTTTGTTATTCTTCTTCCCATCTTTGAGCTTCCATGAATGTACATCCACATTCCAGGCCACTTCGACTCCTAGTTTGAAAGGACCAACCCAATTTGTATCCCCATCTAGTGGGGTGTTGGGGAAGGAAATATAATAGGCCGCTTTATCCCTACATTTTATGTAGAGTGACGGTCCGACGGATTCAAATCCACGACCTCAAACCCCAGTGTAAATGGTTTTACCGCTGAGCCAAATCGGCCCTTCACTTAGTCTCCTAGTTTTGCTGAAAAGAAATTCGAAAAGGACCATTGGCTGTAAATATTTCAAAATGGTGAAAAACACGTGATATATCTCATGCTTTTCTAATCAAGTGGTTATTTCCAGACAGATCTAGTGAAGTTTAAAAGAGAATGGCTATTGATCTTTGACGAGTGAGCTCTCTTTGACCATATGATAAAAGTCATTACATGAACAAAAGACCGCCTCTCAAATTGCTATAGTAATCTGTTTTTTTTTTCTGCTTCTTCGGCGGACTGCTGCAGCTTGAAACCTGGTCTTTCTCTACTGATTGCAACTGCTGCGGACTGGTTCATCTACATCAGCACTTTCCTTGCAGTAAAATTACGAAACTCGCTGCTTTGAATCTTTTGGCCATCTGTACTAACCCAAAAAAACTCTGAACAGATACGGAACATGGCTCAGAAGATGCCATCCTTCGAAAGCGGTGGAATCCTCTGGTTCACTGATCTTACAACTCCAGACAGCTTTTACGTCTTGCCTGCTGTGTTGGGAGTCACTTTCTGGTTTACAACGATGGTAGGTGTTTATGATTTTGCAAACCAAATACAGTGTATGTTCAATTAACTTGACTTTTCCATTTTGATAGTCCGACGACTCCTACCAAAGGCAGCAGAAACCAGGATTTGAAGCCTTTAGCCTTCTTTGTTGGATCTTTACTACTGTTGCATTTCAAGCTATATTCAGTATTGAATCGGTAAAGCTTGAGTTTTGAGGAGCGTAGCTTCTATTTCTTTGTCCAGCATTCTTGATATCATAGCCATTCATGTGCGTCTCAATCTGTTGTAACTTTTGCAGGCAGTGTTCTGTTTCATGATCTCATCTAATATAATTGGGTATGGATTAGATATGGGTAAGTGGATTTCCCTACGAACTTAATGATATCTTTCATATGCGTCTCCTTTCATTTCTTGTTTTGTCAAGTGTGTGAGAAGAAATGGTGGATACGTCTCTTGAATTCATACCCCTTGTTTCCCTCATTGTCAAATACAGCGACAAAATCACCAAAGGTGAGGAAGTTGCTCAAGATTAGAAATCTCCCAGACGGTTCTCCTGATGGAGTTACGCTCTCCGAGGTGTTAGAGATATCCCAGAGGATCCAAAGTGCCAGTAAAGCCCCGAATGCCACAAAGAAGGAGCTGTTAAAGAACGCGGAGAGGATCCAAAGTCCCAAGAAAATCCGGAATGCCGCAAAGAAGAAGGGCAAGAACAAGAAGAGGTGAAAACTCAGAGAGTTGTACCTGAACTGAAACTGTTTTAGTCTGTCTTCACTTCATCTTCTTGGTAGGTTCCTCCTCTGTTCTTAGCCATGAAATAAGCCTTTTGGCCTTTTTTCTAGTTTCATCTTCTTGGTAGGCTCCTCCTCCAAATTTAACCGTCAAATCAGCCTGTTGGTCTTTTTCTTCTTGATATTTAAGGTTTATAGTTTTATTCAACTATATTGTTTATATACTATATCTAAGTCAAAACTGTTTATTTAATTTTGTTACTATCATATACAACCAGATTGAGTTTTTTTTTTTTACATTTTTGTATACTGTTTTTCAAATTTTGGTTTATAAATTTTTAAACCCCAAAATAAACAAAACCGAATAAACAGAAACTAATCATTAATTCACCCCTAAAGATATTTTCATTTACATTTATAACTCTTTAACTCTCCCGTAGTAAATAAATACATTTACATTTTCTGATCCGTTTCTGCGGTTAGGGGTGGGCATAATATCCGAAAAAACCGATCCGATCCGTTATTCGATCCGTATCCGAACCGAAAATTCGGATATCCGGAGTGCACGGATCGGATACGAATATTGATTTCAAAATATTTGTCGGATACGGATCGGATACGGATATCAAAATAAAATTATCCGACATATCCGATCCGGTCCGTACCTTTTAGTAATATTAATAATATATGACTAATTTTGTAATTAGTTTATATATAAGGGTTAATTGTGTAAAAAACAAGAAATATGTTAGGGTTTTTGCTCTTGGAGTTCCAACTCCGTAAGTCTGCATCCTCCTCCCCCTTCTCTCTCTACCGCAAATATTAGCCGACTCTCTCTCCTCCTTTTT